CGATCCTCAGATCTCAGCCTCCTGAGTAGCTAGGATTATAGGCGTGAGCCACCAGTGCCCGGCTAGGTACCTAGTTTTTTAAGAAAAAACAATCTCAAAGGATTGTAAACAAAAGTCCTAAGTTGATTTCGTGTTGAACAAAGCTAAAGCAAGAGGATTGCATTTTAAATACTGGAACAAAAATTTAATTTGTTGTCTTTCATTTGTTCTCTCTCCTATCTTTCTCTTGGAGGTCTTGGTAAGTATCATTTTAAGGTTAAATTGAATACTTTATGGGTTTCTAGTGGAAAATGCAGACTTACCCTTAAAATGGGTTACTGATTATGTATCTCTGTGTGGGTGGATATGTGTTGCATGTTTTTACTATTTTACTACATGTTACTATTGTTGTTTTGATTCAGGGTCTCACTGTGTACCTCAGGCCAGCCTTGAAACTCTGGGTCTTCATGCTCAGCCTCCCAAGTAGTGGGATTATAGCATGTACCACCACACGTGGCTTGCTTGTTGGTTTTTGATAGTGAGGAAGAGCAAAAAAGAGCCAGATACCAGTGGCTCATGCCTGTAATCCTAGCTACTGAGGAGGCTGAGATCTGAGGATTGTGGTTCAAAACTAGCCTAGGTAGGAAAGCCTGTGAGACCTGTGTGTCTGTGCTGGTCTGAGGGCTTGAACTCAGGGCCTGGGCACTGTCCCTGAGATTTTTTTTGCTCAAAACTATTGTTCCACCATTTTGAGGCACAACACTATTTCGTGCTTTTTGGTAGTTTATTGAACATAAGAGTCTCATGGGCTTTTCTGCATGGGTTGGCTTTGAACCTCAATCCTCAAATCTCAGCTTTGAGAATAGCTGGGATTATTAGGCATGAGTCACTGATGCCCAACATCATCCAACATCATTGATACTCTTTTTTTTTTTGTCGGTTATGAGGCCTGAACTCTGGGCCTGGGCATTGTCCCTCAGCTCTTCAGCTCAAGGTGAGCTCTCTACCACTTCAGCCACAATGCCTCTTCCAGCTTTTTCTGCTTATGTGGTGCTGAGGAATCTGGCCTCATGCATGCAAGGCAAGCACTCTGCCACTGAGCAGAGTGCTTCATTGATACTCTTATCTCCAACTAAGCACCAAAAGACCACGAGTAAAGCTGTGGCTCGTGGTAGAAAGCTAGCTTTGAGCAAAATAGCTCAGGGACAGCACCCAGTCTCCCCAGGACCAGGAAAAAAACAAAAGCTGGGCTCCAGTGGCTCAAACCTATAATCCTTAGCTATTCAGGAGGTTGAGATCTGAGAATTGCAGTTCAGAGCCAGCCTAGGCAGTAAAAGTCCATGAGACTTTTATCTTTCAATCACAAAAAGTCAGAAGTGGAGTTGCGACTTAAGTTACTACTTTTTTTTGTTTTGTTTTGTTTTTTTTTGGGTCCCG